CTTTTGGGTATTTAAAGAAGTTGCACAACCCCCCCAGCCAACCCCCCCAAGCAGGGGGGGGGGGGGGAGATTTGGGGGGGTTGGGGTCAACCACACCAAAACATGCTCTACAGAGTCATTTTGAAAGATCAGCTTCATCTGCAGAATTTGTGAAGTTAGGATTCACAAAAGGAAAAACAAAAGCACAACCCTTTTGGAAGGCTGTATGGGCCACAGTTCCCCAAGAATATAAAATATATAAAGACATGGAGATGAATTTAATCAACATAGCATTGCAAATTTCGGATTGCCTTGGCGCAGAATGTTAGGTCAGTCTTCCTATCTTGTAGGGTGGGGGTTGATTGTCAGACGAGGACCATCTTTTTACCCAGATAAAAGATCTTTTCTTGCCTTTGTAGAAATCAGAGCTGGATGAATGGGCAGCCCAGATGAACGCTGAGTTTGAAGAAGCCGAGAGGTTTGACCTTCTTGTGGAATGAGGAGGCATCTGCGCAGCACGTCGGTGTCCAGAATGTTGATTGTACATAGATCTGAGGCCTGCCAAGGAGGACCCTGAAGCTGTCTTGGTGTCAAGCTGTAAATTTTTTTGCTACAGGCGTACTCAGTGACAAAAGGCAGCTACCACTTTAGTTGATGCTCCAGGGGGAAAAAAAATGTTGCACTGTTCTGTTGGCCTGAAGACTAATTTTTTCTTGGCTGTAGCCTGAAAATATGGGTAGAGGGCTACTAGTTCTGTCCAGTATCACAACTGGTAAATGACATTGCCAACTTTTGGAACAGCTTGTCTTTGTCTTTTATTTTTTCTCCACAGAAGATAGGCAAGATATTAAGTTGATGTGCATGCTAGCCTTTGAAAGAGCGCATCAATTTGCTTTGTCCAGTAGTTTTATTTTTAATTATTTTTCTTCTGTGTTTGCCTTCTGCAAAGTCATATTTACTTAAATGGAGCGAGGACCTTGTTTGGTCAGCCAGCTTACAATTTTATGGGGTAGTTAAAGGCAAGCTTGGGCAATCTTGTTTTAAGGACAATTCATTTCTTAAGCCTCCTTTGCTATTTCTCTTAAAGTGCTCCTCTCAATGGCAAAGCTTTGGTAGTTCAATTTGTCCCTTTTCAACCTGTGTGTGTTTCATAGTGCAGCCCTGTAAGAATAACCATAGGAAAATTAAAAAGGCTTTCCTTCTATTTTCCTGTTGTCTTTAACCATCCATGCGTATTTTTAACTAAAAGTGATGAAATGATTTGGGATGAAACTGAAGTGAGGGAATGCTGCGATTATTTTAGAGCAGTGTTTCTCAACTTTGGCCATTTTAAGATGGGTGGACCAACTCCCAGAATTCCCCAGCCAGCATGGCTGGCTGGGGAATTCTGGGAGTTGAAGTTCACAAATCTTAAAACATGCTAGCTGGAGAATTCTGGAAGTTGAAGTCCACACGTCTTAAAATGGCCAAGGTTGAGAAACACTGTTTTAGAGACTGGGCAGCAGGTGGGGGGGGGGGCGTGTTATAGTGATATATCAAAGACTGAAATAAATACAATTGCTACCAGATTTGCTTTCTCACTCTGTAAATTTCAGCCCCAATGTTTGATTCTTTCTAAGCCATGAATAACATTATATTAAAATGGCCTCAGGGATGACTTTTCCAACTAGGCATGACCTAAGTTTGTTCAAACAACCTCTAGGTCTCTCAGTTTGCAGGATTGCTTGATGGATTTTAAGAAGACAGTGGCAGATAGAGCAGAAGGAGGTATAAGGAAGCATTTCCTGACTCTGAGAGCTATTAGAATCATGAATGCTTCACCACTGGAGGTTTGCAACCAAGGTTGGCAGCTTTATGTGGGGTGGTCTGAGGAGTCATGCCCCAGGGCCAGGGGGTTGGACTAGAAGACCCCCAAGGTTCCTTCCCATGCTGAAATTTTATTTCTGGCAAGTCCTTTTGATGATCAAGATGCCAAAGTCTCTGACAATATTCTTTGTTAATTTTCCATAATATGAAGTTAATTTTCATTGTCTTTGTATGCTAGGATGTAATTATCTCCCCCTCATCTTTCAATATTCTAGCTCAGTGTTTCTCAGCCTTGGCAACTTTAAGATGTTTGGGCTTCCTCTCCCCGATTTTTCCAGCACGGGCCCGT